GAGTGGAGCCTCAAGATGGCAGTGAGGATGTAGAGATAGGAAATGAGAATAGTCAGCAGGCAGCTCAGTTCGTTAAAACTGGCAAAAGCAAAAATGACAGCTTCATTGACACGAGTGTCAGAACAAGCGAGCTTCAGGAGGGGTGGAGTGTCACAGAAAAAGTGGTTGATGACGCTGGAGTGGCAGAAAGACAGCTGGAAGGTGAGGCCCGTGTGAATGGCAGCATTTATGAAGCCGGCGAGGTATGTGGCCAACACCAGCAGGACGTTCAGTTGGGGGGACATAGTGACCGTGTAAAGGAGAGGTTTGCAGATGGAGACATAACGGTCATAGGCCATCACGGTCAACAGGAATCCCTCAATGCCAGCGAAGGAACCATAGAAGAAGAACTGAGTGGCACATTCATTGAATGAAATGACTGGGTTCTCTGCCCAGAAATTTATGAGCATTTTAGGGGCAATGACAGAAGAGTAACAGAAGTCAACAAGAGACAGGTTACTGAGGAAAAAATACATTGGAGTGTGGAGATGGGAGTCAGTCTTGATTAACAGGATCATGCCAAGATTTCCAAACACAGTGATCGTATAGATGAATAGAAATATCATGAAAAGAAGACTCTGTAGCTCTGGATGGTCGCTGAACCCCAGGAGGATAAATTCAGTCACTGTCGAATGGTTGCTCATCCCTTTGTCTCAGAATGGATGATTTGCTTGCTGAGATAAGATAGAAATCATAGATATAAATTATGCAAAAAAAAAAGGAAAGAAAATCAGTTTATTCTCTACTGTAAAATTACTTCTAAAATGTCCAAAGAGCATGTATATTAAGGCTTTTAATTTTTTTAACTGCAGAACAACAAAAAGATTTCTTAAGTAAACTCAGCAACTTTAATTTTAAAATAAGCATTTATCCACGTGTGTGTGAAATTGAAAACCAATCCCTGCTTGTCTATATCTTACCTTACCTCCCAAACTTTTTCTCCTCCTCTGTTGATCTTTTTGCCTTCACTGTCTATCATCCAGTTCCTTTGTATTCTCTTTGGCAATGAAATGTATGACACAGTTGGATATATAATACTTCCTGAATTCAGTTCATTTTTTTTTCCTGTTTTCTCTGAAGCCCACTCTAATCAAACTTTCACTCCATCACTCCACACAAATTGTTCTTGTCAAGGTTGTCAGGGTTCTTTATGCTGCCAAATTCAGTGGTCAATTCTCAATCTTCAACTTTTTGATCTATCAATATTTGGCAGAGTTAATTGCTAACTACTCCTTGAGAAACTATCATCTCTTGTCTTCTAGGACACAACATTCTGAGTTTTCCTCCTACCATATGGGTTGCTCCTACTCAGCCGTCTTTGTTTATTCCTCTTTTCTCTGACTGTTAAGATAGGAGTAGCTCAGAACTCATTTCATGATCCTCTTCTATTGTTTGTTTTTTTTCTATTTACACTCTACCTTCATGATCATATTCAGTCTCATGACTATAAATACTATCTATATATTTACAACTCCTGAGTTTAATTCAGCCCTGACCTCTTTCCCAAACACCAGACTTATAATGCACTTACATTTTCACATTAATATCAAATAATGATTCAACCTGACTCAAAGCTGATTTGCTCATGTCTTCCTTTACTTTTCCCAAAGATAACATTCTCTATCTCAAGTGGGTGACAACTCTCTACTTCCATGCATTCAAATAAAAAACAAATACAAGCAGATAAATATTGAAAAAAATTGTTCCTTTTCTTTCTCACACACTATGTAACTAGTCTATCAGACAATTATGCTATCTCTATTTTCAAAATATCTACATCAACAAACCAACTACCTCCTTCCATCTTTATTTCTACCATTAAGTCTCAAGCCAACATCATCTTTCGCCTAGATTACTACAATAGTCCTTTAACTGACCATTTTTTCTCTAAAATCAGTTAAATTCCATCCTGTAAAATACCACTTAAAAAAATTCATAACCATTTTGTAGAGGTCCACTTTATAGATATAAATATATGTATACATTATATATATATATGATATAAATGGAATTATATCCTATATGACATATATGATCTTATATGTGTGTATCTGTTTGCATATGTTTATGTATATAGATAGATAAAGGCTGACAATTGCAGTGGTTTCTCAAAGTGTGCAAATAAGAGCATAAAATAATTTTACTTAATGTACTACAGTGTATTAAATATTCCAAGTGCTTTGGCACTCTTTCTGAACAAAACTAATTAAATTTCCCTGCTTCATACACACACAAAAACACACATATGTACACAGAGAGATGCATATGTACATGTGTGTTTGTATGTGTATGCATAGGTTGAATATTCTATAAAATCCTCATCTCTTATTAGTCACCCTAAACCCTTTTCTTCTAAAAAAAAAAAAAATGTGTTAGTTTAGTTACTAACCTTAAATTCGGTGTTTCAGACATGTTGCAATTTAGAGATATGGTGTTTTTAAAATTTGTATTTATTTATCTTAGTTGGAGGATAATTGCTTTACGATATTGTGATGGTTTTTGCCTGCATCAGTATGAATCGGCCATAGGCACACATGCATCCCCTCCACACTGAGCCTCCCTCCCTGCCAAAACTATCCCCTCCAGGTTGTCACAGAGCACCGAGAGGTTTTGTCTTAAATTCTTGAATGCTTTTCAAATCCTCTTTGAAGCTTTCTATATCTGACCACTTAGAGATAAATTAAATCATCTTACCTGCTGTCCTTAAGACATACTCACTGAAAGTGTGGTGTTTATAAGTTTAATTTTATTTATTGTTTTTGGAGGAATACAATTTTTTTTTTCCTTACAGCGTGAAATTTATGGCTTTGATAAAAATGGAAGTGGCATAAGGAACTCAGCTGTGACAGACTCAAGATATGGTTAATTACTTCAACAAAGAGTGTAAAATGCTGCTTCTGAATTTGAGGCTGAGGGTCAGATTATTAAGGTTGTGACAATGCTCTTGAGATTTAATCATCTTTGCAAAACACTAAAAAAACGAAAGCCTGAAATATACTAACCCAAAATTAAGACATCCACTTATTTTTCGCTGAGATAATTGAACTATTTTCTCCCCAGGGAATCACTTATACCTTCGTGAATAAGTTAGGCATTTGAAGCACAAAATCTCTTTTATGGTCTTAAGACTCCATTGTGCATAACATTGAATTAAATGATATAAAATTTATTAGGTCTTGCCTCAAAATTTCAGAATTCCACTGAAAATGTAATCCCTACTCATTTCTATTTTAATAGGCAAGAATACTGGAGTGAGTTACCATAACATACTCCAATTGATTCATCACTCCCCAAACACCTTCCTGATTGCAGTTTTTTCTCTCTTTTTATTTGCTCACTCTGTTCCACGTATACTTGTTCCCTTACTATTCTTTTAACAAACCAAGGAGGATCTTACCTCGGGGCCTTTGTATTCACCACGAATATTCATGCAATGTTATCCTATGCAGGACTCGCTCAAACGTTATTTCCACAGGCTGCTCTACTCCCATCCTTTAATAAATTTCTTTAAAGCACAACTCTTATCCATGTCACACAATGCATCCCACACAAACAAGAACAAATGCCTATGCACACATGCATACACATTTTGTTGTTGACAATAAAGTCTTCCTCACTCAAAAACAAGTTTCATGAAATCAAGAACTTTGTTTTCTCTCATGGTATATCTTCAGCATGTGTTACCTGCTGAATACATTTTTCCAGTAATGTCTTTGAGAGAAACATTGGTTAATAATTAAGAGTGGAATTAACAGGAGATTGGAGGGCTGTTCCAGGGGGACAGGATGAGTTATCTCTTCCTTTGTGGGGTCTAACAAACCTTTTGGACATTGGTATTCCAATGTTCCAACATTGGTCTGTAGTGGAGAGTGGGATGGAAAGAAATAGGAAACAGACATTTAGCTGATTCCAAATCATTGCTTAGTCCTTCTTCAACATATCATCTCATGAAATACAGTTTTTTCCCTGTTGTTCCAACATTGACAGCCCCAACCCCACTACAATGAGCAATAAATAGATAATTGTGTTTGATAAATGTTTATTGAAAATTATGTGAAACTTTGGCTGGGTTACAGATAAAAAGTTAAAACACTTTGACTTTGAGATTACCATGCTCCAAAATACTTCAGTTAATTCACAAAGTCAGTAAACTATACCCCCCATTGTTGCTATAGCACCCATATTATTAAACAGCTAAGACTTTCTTCTATAGTATTTGGTACTCTTGACATCCATGTGAATGGGAGTGTTACTATTTATAATAGACGCTGTGATATACTACCCAGATTGGACTTTCAGTATTGAAGCATTTCCTTCCCCAGCTTCCTAGGGCACCGGCAGCTGACACCTCAGAGCTGAGCTCTAGTCCTGGGATATGCCTGCTGAGAGGCATTGTCATCCTGAAAGTTAGACCGCATCCAATGGGTGCCCCGTATCTAAAGCAGGCTATTATGGAGGCATAAATACCTGTTCAAGTTTGAAACATCTCTGAGAAGGATAATCTCAACTCCAGATCTGCACACAGAACTGGCTGAGTACTCTGATGCAATTTCATCACAAACTTCTTCATCAGTACTGTTCCTGGTAACACTCTCCAATAAATTTCCTAAATACAAATATCTGTCTCAGAGTCTATGTTCCAAGATCCAATCAAAGTCATATATATAAATAATTTTATGTATAATTTTATATATATATATATAATTAGAGTGGAAAAGCTCAATATTAAAATTGAGACTTCAATCTAGATCAACCAGTTCCAAGTATTATGATATTTTACCAGACAGCCTTCCTTCACTCTATTGATTCATACTATAGGCTAATAAATACACATTTAAGACACCAGGAAATTAAGAATACATCTCATTTTAAACAATATACTTTTTTTTCATTTATTTTTATTAGTTGGAGGCTAATTACTTTACAATATTGTAGTGGTTTTTGTCATACATTGACATGAATCAGCCATGGATATTGGAACCACAAAAGGGCAATTTGAAAGTCATTCCTGTGTGTATGGCTGCATTTCCAAAACCTGCTAGGAATGAGGTAGCCACTAGCAAGACGCAAATCCTCCCAGACATGAGAACTGGATACAGCAAAGGGTTCCAAATGGCTGCGTAGCGGTCATATGCCATCATAGCTAACAAGAAGCACTCAGTCCCCAGGAAGGAGCCAAAGAAATAGAACTGGGCAGCACATCCATTAAAAGAAATGGCCTTCCTCTCAGCCACGAGGTTCACCAACATCTTAGGAGTGACAGAAGAAGAGTAAGAGGCATCAACAAAGGAGAGACTGCTGAGAAAAAAGTACATGGGGGTGTGGAGACAAGGATCCATCTTAATTAACACAATCATCCCCAAATTACCCACCATGGTTGCCATATAGATCAACAGAAACAATCCAAAGAGGATGACTTGTAGCTCTGAATTGTCTGAGAGTCCTAAGAGGATAAATTCTGTCACTTCTGTTTGATTCCTGGTTTGCACCTCTTTCATATATCTGGCCATTTGAGCTGCAATAAGAGAAAAGATAGACCATGCTATTTGGTCAGATGAATACATGACAGGTGGGCTTCCCTACCGGCTCCCTGGTGAACAAGCTTGCCAATACAGGAGCTTCAGTTTCGATTCTTGGGTGGGGAAGATCCCCTGGAGAGGAAATGGCAACCCACTCCTGTATTCTTGCCTAGACAATTTCATGGACAGAGGGGCCTGGTAGGATATAGTCCATGGAGTCACAAAGGGTTGGACATGACTTAGCAACTAAACAACAACAAATGCATGACAGAACTTAAACACCTCTTCACTGACATGTACACATGCAAATTTTAGCACAGTGCGTAATGTGAAAAACAGTAAAAATTGTGCTAAGTTTGATACTAAAACATGAAAGCACTGTGTTGGGTTCTAGGTGTGCTGCCAACTAACAAATGACCTTAAAACAAGTGACATATGTCCATCAATTATGAGCACTTCTGGCATTAACTGTTTATTGGATAACTACAGGAACGTATCCTTAAGATGCATCTCATTATTTATGATAAATTAATTGATATATTAGCATACCTGTTAGGCACATCTCCCAGAGAAAAAATGTCAAAATGGAATGAATGAAAAGTATTGAAAATGATTAAAATTAATTAAAAAATAAAATGAATTTGAATTTTCTGGTGGTGGAGGGGGTAATTTTTAAAGTTGATGGCCAATCCAGGAGACACAATATTCCTGTATAGCCAGCATGGTTCCAACCCTACCCTAATTTTCCAGTGTCAGCATTTACAGAAAAAAAAAAGTCAGTTAAATATTGAGCATTTTGAATAATCCCCTTCAGTTTTTAGAGAAGCAGGCTGTAAGAATAAGCTCATATCCCGGATGACAGTAATAGAACAAGCCAGGGCAGAGAAGACTCCTACCGACACTCAGATTCACAGGATCACAACTGAAGCAGAAACCACCACCAGCAGCATGTGGAATGTTCTGGCCTCCATATTTAAATCTGGGGAATGATTTAATACGAAGTCATCCAAGCGGAGGTAAAATTTACCCCTTGAAATGTATAATGAAGTGAAATCTATGACAAAAGGAAGAAGAAAGAAAGAAAAATATAGAAGAAAGAAAGGAAGGAAGGATGGAAGGAAGGGAGAGAGGGAGGAACAGAGGTAAAAAGAAAAAAAAACAACACATCCCCAGTCTACATTTTTAAAGTAAAAGTTTGGGCCAATTACTCTAGTGGAATTCTCTATTTCCACCCCAATTCCTCACCTGGTCCATGGACTTAGATTATAAAACAGTAGATAGCATGATACTAACTTAGTTATCTAATTATATCTCAGAGTGTTAAACCCCTTATCATTTACAGCAGCAAGCTATTTGGTACTGTCTGAAATTAAAACATAAGGTGAAATTCCCTTGTAGTCTAATGGTTAAGACTCCATGCTTCTACTGCAAGGGGTGTGGGTTGGACCCCTGATTGGGGGAACTAAGATCCCACATACTATGTGGCATGGTCAAATATACATGGGCTTCCCCAGTGGCTCAGCGGTACAGAATCTGCCTACAATGCAGGAGATGCACAAGACAGGGATTCGATCCCTAGACAGGGAAGATCCCCTCGAGGAAGTCATGGAAACACACGTCAGTATTCTTGCCTAGAGAATCCCATGGACAGAGGGGCCTGGTGGGCTACAGTCCGCGTGTGCCTAGTTGCTCAGTTGTGCCCGATTCTTGCGACCCCATACTGTAGCCTGCCAGGCTCCTCTCTCCTTGGGCTTCTCCAGGCAAAAATACTGGAGGGGGTTTCCATTTCCTTCTCCAGGGGATCTTCCCAACTCGGGAGTTGAAACCAGGTCTCCTGCATTGCAGGCAGATTCTTTGCCAACTGAGTTATGAGGGAGATGCCACAGTTCATAGGGCTGCACAGAGTTGGACATGGCTGAAGCAACTCAGCATGTATATAAAGCTGGGCACTGAAGAATTGATGCTTTTGAACTGTGGTGTTGGAGAAGACTCTTGAGAGTCCCTTGGATTGCAAGGATATCCAACCAGTCAATCCTAAAGGAAATCAGTCCTGACTATTCTTTGGAAGGACTGATGGTGAAGCTGAAATGCCAATACTTTGGCCACCTGATGCGAACTGACTCACTGGAAAAGACTGTGAGGCTGGAAAAGATTGAAGGCAGGGGGAGAAGTGGATGACAAAGGAGGAGATGGCTGGATGGCATCACCGACTCAATGGGCATGTGTTTGAACAAGCTCCAGGAGTTGATGATGGACAGGGAACCCCGATGTGCTGCAGTCCATGTCGCAAACAATCAGACATGACTAAGCAACTGAACTGAATTAATATAAATCTTTTTCAAAAGACTTAAAACAGAAGATCAAAGTAACTCAGCACCTGTGCTGATATTGATGTTAAAAGATCTACTGAGCACAGTTTGGGGGAAGGGTGGCAGGATCTGGTTCCATTCTTACAAACACCACCATACAAGAAGTGCCTATTCATGCTCAGATCTGTTCAGTTTCCAATGGGACAGGGACTCAATACTCCAATAAGCAAAAAGTCTGACATTTGTATGCAGTACTTTCAGCATGTCATTGCACCCATTATCTTATCTAAGTCTCATCACAGTTCAGTGAGGGAGATAATCAAGAATAAGCCAATGAGTATTAAGAAGATTATCTTTTGTTAGCTGAGGTCAGTGAAAGATAGGAATGTCACAGCTAATCAGTAGTGAATGCTGGCTAGAACATAGGTCTCTTGATGCCACATTATTTGGTCCTCAAGACTACACTGCCTCTCTTCTGATTTCACTGGACAGATATTCAGCCTAGGTCCTTGTCCTTGGACTAAACTTGCTGTTTGAACGTCACAGAAAAGCATCTTCAGCAGGTATTAAAAAGAAGGAATGGGTATTTTCTTCTCTTCTTCAACAAGAAAGAGTCTGTGAGAGTACTTTTCCATCAGAAATAGCAGAAAGAATAAAATGCTCTAGAAACTTTGGTGTGTGTTAGGCACATAAAGAAAGGCAATGATGTGTAAAAATAATAAGTACTAAATTAGGTTAATCATTCCCTGTGATCTAAAAGTTCTGTGTTAAGTATTTTTCCTGAATTATTTTATTTAAATTCTGTGATATATGCAGTATTATAGTCCTCTTTTTGCACATGAGAAATGAGAGGTACAAAAGATTGGTAACTACTGCTCAGAGTCCCAGAGATAGCCTTTGGATGTCTAATTTAATGTCAATGCAGTTCTCCTCTTAACATTTGAGGTTATTTATAAGGACCTTGTCAATAATAGGTGTGAGCACTAATATATAGAGATGATATTGTAATTCTCAGAACTGTATTAATACATTAGAATCCATTTACCTACATTAGGAAAAAATGTGTATATCTCCTAAAAAGAAAATATAATTATAGAGGCTGAAAATTGTCTTTTTCATAACTCACTCTCATTAATTTGTCTTTTAGCAAAATACCATTGATTTTACATCTAGTATTGCAAATTACATGCTTCATTCTCTCTTCCTTAGCAAATACATTTCTTGTTTTTGTGAAATATACTCTTCCCCCTAGCTGAGAGTTTGCAGTCAACCATTTAGTCCAGATATTCTTCATCTGGGTTTTCAATTTCTAAGAGTTTGTGAAACTAGTAAGATTTCCTTAAAATCTCTGGTGTTTAAAAAAGCATTCAAGTCATATTAGTTATTCTCCTTAGTTTTCTCCTAAAGACTAACAAATTTTGTATTGGTAAAGATGGACAGAGCAGCTATTAAACATACTTTCTTAGTCATTCAGTATTCTCAGAACCTTGGGTCTGTGGGTAATTGGAGAAATTAACAAGACTGTGAGTTTTTCTTCAGATCAGTAAACTGCATGGGACACAACTTTAATATTTTTTCTTACCTTTCTTAATTGGTTAACTTCTACTTGATCCCTTTGCCTGTTCTTACACAATGTCCAAATTCACCAGAAAAAAAAATCAGGAGGCAAGAAAACATAAAAACTTTTTAGAAAAGTTTCCTCTAATTGTCCCAGGTTAAGCAGTAGACACAGTTGCAAAGGACTTCAGACACCAACCAGTAGAGACAAGAAAACTGAAACACTTATACCTTTCCTGTCACGAGAGAATCACTTACACTCAGCAGAGACTGAGTCCTTATTTTTACTTTTCCTTTAAGGTAAGAATCCCAATATGTTAAAATGTAAAATACATTTCAACATATAGAATACATTGCTGCAGTATATTTATAATACTGTTTGCAGCTATTTCCAGTTGGAGAGTCCCTAGACCAGAGTCTGGAGTAAGCATCTGACATTTTAAATAAGATATATTGTTCTTATGGCTCTGGGGACTGTGTTCCTCATGTCATCTCATTTTAATATACTTTTATTTTTTTTTCCCCTCTGCAACTAAGGGAATCACATGTCTCTTTCATGTTCCTCTCCTTTACCCTTGGGATATCTGGGGCTAAATCGAATGAATTTTCAGATGAGGATTTCTAACCACTGTTTTGATTTTTTTTTTTGATTCATTGCTTCATTGCTGTCAGACTCTCACTAGTTGCCACGAGCAGGGACTGCTGTCTCGTGGCAGTCAGTAGGCAGGCTTCTCATGGTGGGTCTCTTGTTGCCGCGCACAGGCTCCGGCGTGTGGGCTTCAGTAGTTGTAGCTCATGGACTCCAGGGTGCTGAGTGCTGAGGCACAGGCTTAGTAGCTCCAGCCCCAGGTCTCCCCATTCCAGGGCATGTGGGATCTTCCCAGACCAGGGATCGAACCCATGTCCCCTGCACTGGCAGGCAGATTCCTAGTCAGGTAAATACCAGGGAAGCGCCTCTAATCACCATTAAAAACCCTTTTACTGCCATCCCAACAGTTAGTGGCCTGGTCCCCTGGGGAACATTAAAAATATCCACAAAAGAACAGGTTAGTTCAATCTCTGATCTTGCCTTGTATAAGGGCTTTGGGTACATAGGGGAAATTATGCTACCTGAATCATGGTGAT